CGCCGATACCCCCGAGTGCAACCAAGTTCATGATGCTCAAGACAAATGCGCTTTTGTGCGCAAATACTGTACCGACGACGATGCCGGACTCGTCCCTTATACCGAGCTCTATTATTGCGCTTTTGGCAACGTACGGCCTATCGCATTCAGCATTCTCGTCGTCTGGCTTGGCCTCCTCTTTACCACAATTGGAATTGCTGCAAGTGACTTCTTCAGCGTCAACTTGAGCACAATCGCTACCGTTCTTGGTCTTAGCGAGAGTCTAGCAGGCGTCACATTTCTAGCATTCGGCAATGGGTCTCCCGACGTATTCAGCACTTTTGCTGCGATGGGCTCTAACAGTGCCAGCATGGCTGTTGGTGAGCTGATAGGAGCTGCAAGTTTCATCACTGGCGTTGTTGCTGGGTCTATGGCTCTCGTGAGGGAGTTCCGTGTCGATCGAAAAACTTACACTCGTGATATTTGCTTCTTTATTTTCGCCGTTGTTTTTACAATGATCTTCCTGGCCGATGGCCATTTACACTTCTGGGAGTGTTGGGCCATGATCGGCTATTATGCAGTATATGTTGTCACCGTTGTAACATGGCACTGGTATTCGACAAGGCGCAAAGCCAGGCAGCGTCGAGAAGGAGAAGCGCGCAGTCATGTATATCATCCCGGGGATGAGCTTGCTGGCGAGCCATATCGAGATGATGTAGACGACGTTGGTTCAGCTCCTGGCACTGCCCTTTCTACTCCGCCCGATATTTCACTTCTTGAGGCGGGACCTAGGATTGAAGTGGAGGGCACACCGCAACCAAGTGAGAGCGACACGTCAAGTGAGGACCACGATCGCATGGTTGCAGCAGAGGTCGCCAGCAGCATGCGAGTACTGCGTGGCCGTGGAACAAGGAGAAACACAATGACCCCTATTCGGCCCAGTCTTGTCGGAGCGCTCGAGTTTCGATCTGCGCTGGCACAGCTGCAGCGTGAGGGTAACTTGCAACTGTCAACAATCCCAGGAAGAAGTTACTCGGATTATCATGTCCAAAGGCGAAGACAAACCACAGCCACCATCTCGGACTCGGTTCGTTCAGACGGCCAGCCGGCTTCAGGCTATGACGAACATGCGCCCAAAAGGAACAGAGCACTCTCTTCAGGAGATCAACCTGTAGGGACAGCTGCTCACCCTGCTCACCCTGATCTCCGTATCCCGAGTCGCGATAGAGGCGAAACCAGCCTGTCAGTTCCCGGCTCTACAGCCAGCGGAACAAGAGCATCAAGCCCGAGCCCTTCGCACACTGTTAGGGGAAACCTGGCCGCGCCACCCGTCGGTCCTAGTGGGACCACCTTTGATGCTCCCAGCGAAAGCACAAGAGGACAAATGCCCACTCCTGAACTTCACTTGCAAATCCCGAGTCCAAGCCGCCGCAGCTCCTGTAGCGATCGATCTTCGCCAAACCAACCTTTCCCTATGTACACGGACTCGCCAGCGTTGCTCACACCAAACTATCACAATGACCCAATCGAGTTCGTGTCACCGGGAGGAGTGTCGCCCAGTACCGTAGTGCTGGGTCAAGCAGGCCGTGAAACACCATTTGCTGATTTGCAGCTGACGGTTGATGTACCATCACGCCCTGTTAGGTGGTGGCCATATGCTGTGCTACCGCCTCCTCACATACTGTTGGCAACCTTGTTTCCTACATTGCAAGGTTGGAATGATAAGACGGCGTGGGATAAGTTTGTTAGTGCGATATCTGTCCCGAGCATCTTTCTCCTGGTAATTACTTTGCCAGTGGTAGACTCAGCGACAACAGATGGCGAGTCCTCTCTCCTCGAGACGATTGTTGACTTTACTAGCCATCATCACGATCATCACGGAATTGGGCATATGGCACCGCCCGTGTCGGTCGAACATTCATCAATCGAGCCGGAAGGAGAGTCAGAGTGGGAGCGCTATCGCAGACGCTCTCATGTAAACCGGAGTAGCAGTCATGTAGGGTCTGCTGTTCCGCCTTCCTCAGCACATGCCGATGGAGGGGGGTATTCGGCCGTCCCGCAACTGTCTCTGGGGCCACCAGCCATCGCGACCAAGCCTGCTTCGGATTTCCCTTCTTCTAGCAGTGCCAAAGGTGACTGCACAGGCTGGAATCGGTGGCTCGTGGCACTCCAGCTTTTCACTGGACCTCAGTTTGCAGTTTTGGTTCTATGGGCCAATACTTTGGATGAAGGGGAAAATCCTCATAAGACCCTGATCTGGATGGTCCTCTACAGCCTCCTCGCGTCACTCATCCTCCTTGGAGGCTTGATTGTCTTCACATCAGAGGACAGGCCACCTCGTTACCATTACATACTTTGCTTCATGGGATTCACTATTAGTATTGCTTGGATCTCGACCATCGCAGGCGAGGTCGTTGGAGTTCTCAAGACAGTCGGCATTATTCTGAATATTTCGGAAGCGCTGCTGGGTCTTACAATCTTTGCTGCCGGCAACAGCGTAGGAGATTTGGTTGCCGACATTACGGTGGCGCGACTGGGATACCCCGTCATGGCCCTGTGAGTATTACTATGCTTCACTTGGAGATACAACTGACAACCTGTTTAGGTCTGCTTGTTTTGGTGGCCCAATGTTGAACATATTGCTCGGCATCGGTATTGGAGGTGTTATGATGATGGTCAGGAAAGCAAACAAGAAGCATCACAAAAACCCTTCCCTCCCCATCAAGTACAAGCCTTACCGTATTCAAGTCAACGGAACGTTGATGATCTCAGCCATAACGTTGCTGGTGACTTTGGTAGGGTTGTTGATTATTGTGCCCATGAATAAATGGATCTTGAGCCGTAAGATCGGATGGGGACTGATTACACTCTGGGCAGTGAGTACTGTCGTAAATGTTATCATCGAGGTTACTGGAGTTTGGGGTGAGATGGCATAAACTCGGTTGAGCTATATATAGCAAACAACATTGTACAAATTGAATTTTCACATGATTAGGCTAGAACATATATTAACACGCCCCCAACCGCTTTGCTTGTATTTATAAAATAACAATGGATACCAAGAGAGCGAACTTTTGAATATCACAAGTAAAGACTACCTACCTATGTCTGATGGATTTGATATTGTTGATATCCACTCACCGAGCTCACCTAGACGACCCCCACCATGCTGCGAACTAAGTGCGCATTTGGCGGTCAGACTCAGCGAAAGAAAGTGGACACCACTGTAGATTTCGTTTGTAGACCTAATCTCATGATAGCATGTGTGAAAGTACTTTTAACGAAGAAGATTGACCAAAGGATGCCATTTTAACTACATCCTGTTTGCCGATATTTCCATGGAGTACAATGCTTTTCTCAAACAAATCTTATTGTTTTCTCATCCCATCTCCTCACCAGGCGGTCCTCATGGACCTCGTCGTTCTAATTACAATAGTTGGCAGACCCTTGAATCGTTAGCGGTATAAACGTGGCTCTAATATGGATGATACGAGACGTACATGGCGAACTGTATTTCTGTTCCAATTTTAAATATATTATAGAATTGATGGATCGTCTATCACATCTCCTAGTCATCCAATTGATACGAACTAAATACTGTCACCAGTTGATTGAATATCTTTGTATTCTTGAGGTTTCTTTAGTAGCTGTTTTGTACCTGAGTGTGCCCCGCATCCAAGCTTACCCCACCCCCTCCTGTTGGTCTTGGCTTGGTCCCCTCCTCAACACCAAGAACTCCAGGTACTTTATATTATCGTGACCCCATTTCTCTCTTTTTCTTCTTCTCCAACAACCGTTTTACACCACAGCCCTCACGATGTCTCTCGCTCCTCCCTCATACTCTCCTCTTCAGGAGCGTCCTCTCAAGGACACCATCTGCCTCTTTGATGTCGACGGCACCCTTACCCCCGCGCGTCTGGTATGCCAAAGCTCAATAGACCCCTGATATCCTACAAATCGCTGACAACTCCTCAGGATGCTTCCCCCGAGATTCTTTCCGTTCTCCAGAAGCTTCGCTCAAAGTGCGCCGTCGGTTTCGTCGGCGGTTCCGACTTCCCCAAGCAGCAGGAGCAGCTGGGCAAGCCCGCTGGCCAGCCCGTCACCGCTCTCTTCGACTTTTGCTTCTCCGAGAACGGCCTTACTGCTTTCAAGCTCGGCGAGCCCCTCGAATCAAACACCTTCATCAAGTTCATCGGCGAGGAGCAGTACAAGGAGCTTGCCAACTTTGTCCTCCACTACATCGCTGACCTTGACATTCCCGTCAAACGCGGAACCTTTATCGAGTTCCGTAACGGCATGATCAACATCAGCCCCGTCGGCCGTAACGCCAGCACACAAGAACGAAACGACTTCGAGAAGTACGACAAGGAGGCCAAGGTCCGCGAGAAGTTTGTCGCTGTCCTCAAGGAGCGATTCGGCCATCTCGGTCTCACGTATGTTGCATTACCCCTATTCACCACCATGAGCTCTAGCAGCTGATCACCGCATAACAGATTCTCCATTGGTGGTCAAATTTCCTTCGATGTATTCCCTACTGGTTGGGACAAGACCTACTGCCTCAGGCACCTCGAGAACGAGGCCAAGAAGCCCGATGGCATTGCCTACAAGAACATTCATTTCTTTGGTGACAAGACTTTCGAGGGCGGCAACGACTACGAGATCTACGCCGATTCCAGAACTATCGGCCATTCTGTCACCAGTCCCGAGGATACTATGCGCATCCTCAAGGAGCTTTTCGATGTCTAAACACATAATCTAGTGTTGAGGCCACGAGTTAAAAGCATATATGCACTTGCCATAGAAATGAGACCAAGAAGGAAACAATTTAATCACTCTCAATTTTACAATATGCGCAGTTTTATTGATAGAACTAAGATGCTAGGCAGAAATCATAATGAAAAGGTATCTTTGATGTATAAATCTTCATGATATCGTAGAAATGATATATGTGCAGTAAAAATTATAAATGCCACTATAACATAGCTTGTTGCTATATCCAGTTCTCAAATACGTGAACTACATCATCGGCCATATTCCAAATGAGGGATGATGACAGGGCCGTATTTGGTTGGTGCTGTGAAGGCACCGTCGCCTTGTACCACAAAATCAACAGCCAAACTGACCTTGGACAGGCCCTGCTGTGAACCATTGAGGCTTGGGTTGGGGCTGAAAGGCGTTTGAGGTACTGCGGCAGCAGCGTCTTGGTCGTACGAAACGAATGCGACGTAGTTACGTCGGCCCATTAGCTTCTTAAGCTCTCGCGCAGCACCACTAGCGTCGGAGTGGAAGATCTCCATCATGTCCTCTTTTGTGTCAGATACCTCGTGTGTCGACTTTTTGCCGTTTTGCGGTACGTATAGAGTCTTCTGGTTGTGTAGCATCTTGAGAACATAATTGCTCTGGGGTGCCGCTACAATAGGCGATGAGATGATCTGGTACATGGTCTTGTGGTCGCCAGGGTGTGTTGGGTCGTGAACTAGACCGGCTCCTGAAGCATTGACGTCTACCATATTGTTAACTTGAGTTCCTTGGGAATATCACGGCATGTTCAACGTACCTCCAGATAGGAATGTCATTCGGATTCCCTTCTGTTGCGCTATGCCTTGAAGAGTTCGAATCAGATAGGTTCTCTCCAGATCCTTGGTGTCATGAGTCCACATGTCCTTGAGCACTTCTTGAATATCAAGTTCGCCAAACTGATTCAGGACGTTGCCCATAAGACCGGTTTTGCCCACCGCCTTCTTGACTTGTGAGAATCCCTGTGCCACCACGTCTTTGCCTCCAACCACGCCTGCAACTGAGCTTGTCACCTTGCCCAAGATGTTGTAGGTTGTGTTGACAGCCTTCTTGCCAGCAGCCATCGTATTAGCAAGACTCTCAACTGTATCCAGACGGGGGTATACGAGTGGTACTGAGACCATCCAGATGCAATGCTGTACACTGGGAGGTAGTGTGGCAACCTTGGGGAAGATTCCCTGATACGTTGGACCTGCCATTACCTGGGCTTGGGTTCGTTCAGATCGGCAGTCAGGGCCTACAGCCACCACAGCCGGGCCCAAGTACTTGACGAAATGCCAGCCAGTGCCTGTGATGGTGAATATATCGTGATCAGTGCTAACATTTCGCAGCATCTCGACAGTAGTATGATGTTGGAACAGGAGGTACATTTCCGTCGCGATCCTGCCAATATTCTTAAACATAGGCGAAGACTGCATATAGTCTGGGTATGAACCATAACCATCAAAGCTGTTGTATATCAGTGAATGTCACTATTTGAAGTGTTGGAGTAGTACTCACATGTCATGGTCATCAATCTGCAGGACGTGTGGAATCTGAGCAAATGCTTCACGGAGGAATGGCTGATCGAAATGACTCGTGTAGTAGTGGAAATAGGCATGCGCAACGTCTTCCTCATGTCGGGCTGTCCACTGGACGTTCTTCTTGTTGTCTCGTCCGCTCATCGCAAGCCATTGCTTAAGGAGTGGGACTTCCTTCCACAGGCGATCACCATAGATCTGGTCTCCCAAGCCCAACTGAACGTGGAAGCCACCGCAATCGACATTCTTTTGGAGAACATCCTTCCACATGAAGCCAACTCCGCCAAGCTTGGCCCGTTCATTCTGGGAGGTTCCTGCTGCGAAGTCGTTGCCAGAGTGCGCAATGAAACGCCAGCTGGTCTCTTGACGTCCAGCCACAACAAATTCATATCGGGTACAGCCAAGATGCGAGGTGACTGCGTACGTCCAGCGTTCGGTGCCAGCCTCAGACATAGGTAGCTCTAGGTCGTATTTATAGAACTTCCATCTTTGATGAGTGAAAATAGGCCGAGGTTCGGCTTGACGAGGGTTAGGTGCTAGATCATGGCTCAAATGAATATGAATGGTGGGTGGTTGAGGAGCGTCTGTCACAATTAAGATGCTACCAAGCCAAAGACCTTTCTCCACATCCATGTTTACGTATCGCAGATAAGGACCGAAGTAAACACCATTTGTAGGCTGGATTCTGTACATATCCACACCAGCACTTGGTGGAGGCCCTGTGAAACCCGCAGCAGTAGGTGTTGCAGAAGCTGCCACGCTCATGATACTCTCTGCATAACCAGGGGTATGCGGGGGGAACATGGGAGAGGCCATGGCCTGTTTGCCAAACATATTGGGCGAAGCCAGAGGGTTTCCATACGTCGAAGCTGTTGGCGAAAGAGGGGCTTGTTCGTGAGATATGGGGTTTGGGCCTTTGGGAAACTCCCACTGTGTTGCCTGAGTGGCTAAGTGAATATAGTAGTATTGTCCTGAATTCTGGTCCAGGTGAGCGATCCATCCTTCGGGCAAGGGCGGAGGCGAGGCCGGGTTCTGAGGCTCAAAGCTCTGGGCAGGAGCAACAACTTGCTGCTGGGAGCTCTGCCCATTCTGCTCAGGGCGAGATTCGTTGGCGAACGCGGGATGGGGATCATTGGCAAATGCAGGATGGCCTGGGTGTTGTAAGGCAGGTGACGCAAGACCGCTAGCTGCAGTCGAGGGGGCGGCAACCACTGTTGTCTTTGTAGGGGGTGTCGACGCTGCTGGCTGCTGGTGTGGTTGAGCTGAAGCCGAACTTGATCCAGCTTGCTGAGGGCGTTGCTTCTCGTTGGGGTAGGATGAGTTACCGCCAGGGTTGAGACTTGAGTAGGCAGGAGGAGGAGAATTGGTGTTGATTCGCTGGAAATCTTGCTCCAACACACTAACTTGCGCTTGTCCTTGTCCTTGTGGCTTCTGTTGTTGCTGTTGTTCGGGCTGGGGAGGAGGGCTGAACGATTGGTGTGACTGCGCCGGGCTTGAGATGGCATTCATACCCTGGTATACTGTGGGAGGGCCAGATGGTGCCTGGTCGGGAGTTTCAGTCGGTGTCCAAGGCCGTTGCGGAGGAGGTTGGTTCCCATATTGTGCGAGTCTTTGTGACGCGGCGGCGCTGGGTGCGCCAAGGCTGTTAAGTGTAGCTGTGCCGGAGATACCGGCAGCAGCATATCGGGCCTCGATAGCATCAGCCGGCGCCTGTCCGGGCTCCACGATCGGGGTCTCGGGAGGAGGAGGGGAGCCACGACTAGCACGGGTAGTCGATGTCGAAGCGGTCGAAGCGAAGCGATTTACGCCCTGATCATTCATCTTAAGTTGCTGGGCAGAGGCCAAATTTGTGGGCACATTGTTGGAAGAGCTGTGTGCCGCACCTGGCGGAGGATAATATGTCTTTTGATAGTTCTGATAATTTGCGTTGGAGGAGTCTGGGCGCTGGTTATCAGCCAAGGGGCGTTGGAAAAGATCGTGATCGGCGTCAGGGCTTGTAGGAGAGCTGATGGGCTTCGGAGCAGCTCCTCTTCGTTCCGCGAGACCGGGCTTCTTCCCATGAGGGCTGGTATCTAATCGAGGACTAGTGTCGTTGTAGGCAGAGCCGAACGGCTTCGCGGGAGTAGGTTTGCGAACGTCGTCGTCGTCAGGAAATGGAAGTGGTGCCGCAGAGCTGGAAGCGCCAGGAGGTAAAGGAAATGAGTGTTTAGAAACAGGAGAGGTGGACGACGGAGGCGCCGGGTATCTGAAGGCGGACGATCTACCGTCCTTGGCAGGCTGAGGGCTCTGAGGCTTGAATATGCGCAGAGGTTCAATGGTCGGGCTGTCGCAATCTTCAGGGGCGGGCTTATTAAGGAACATCTCCTCATCTGGAATACCACGGCTACGCTCCATTTTGAGTTATGATGGAGCTTATAAAGGCCGATACGTGTGAACGTGGGATATGCGACAATGTGCGATATGGGAGCTGCCCAACGATGGCGGGGTCAAGAAGCAAGCAACAGCTGGATGGCAGATAGTGTAAGGCCCTTGCAGGAAGGCGACAGGTTCAGGTCGTGGTTTCAGGCCTCTCCAGGAGTAAGAGATATTAAAAGCTTATGAGAAGGACCCAAGTTCGTTCGATGCGAAGCTTGGGTTATCTCTATCTCGTCTTGTTGATTGAGCGGGGTTTTGGGCTGCGTCGGCTGAAGTGACGTGGGCTTGCACCTTCCCTGTTCCTGAGGGGCTCCAGTAGGTCGCAGAAACGGCCGCGTCAGGAACGAAACAATGGTCAAAAAAGAAACGGAATTTTGAAACAGTTGTAGAATAAAGAAAGAAAAAATGCAGAAATGTTGACGTTGAAAAGAAAAGGGGGAGAGGGGAAGGTAAGGAGAGCCAAGTCTGCAAGAGGGTCTGGTCTACCTATCTCATGCTGAAGCGCCGTGACTCTCGCCTACTGGTCCATACAGAAATAGGAGGAATGGAGACGAGACACCAAAAGAGCTACTGGTAGTATATTATAGAAACATCTAGAGGGCGAAAAGGAATCCAGGTTCAGAGCCGAGTCAAGTCGTTACGGATCTACCTGGCTGGAGGTATAAACTGTGGTTGGAGAGAAGTACATTTTTATCATGACTAGGTAGTATTGACCTACTTGTCATTTCTGTTCAGGCCCAAGCATGTATCGATAGCAACAAGAGTTAACCGCTGAGTTCAACCCAAAGCTAGACAGCTTTTTTGTCCGGCGGCAACAGCTTCAGGGGCATCGTATGCGTCACCCTCACAGAATGATATTGAAATAAAGACTCACAACTCTGTGCGCAGAGACATTGTCACAGCATAGGTACTCTGATTGGCTGTGTCGGGAAACGTGTAAGCGCCCAGAAGCTTGAGCTAAAGCTTGGGAGCCATCAAAAACGGGCCTCGGGAGGTCCCTTTCAGGGTTTGGGGGCCAAAGAATAATGGGAGGGTGGGGCTTTAGGGACAAAATCATGGATCATGAGAGCTCCAGATCTCATCATGGGTAGCAACATAGCCTCGATGCAAGCGCCCATCTAAAAGCCAAGACTGAATACAACCACTAGGAAGCCTGTCTTGCAGGATGTATGGTGAAGTTTTTGTGATAGTAACTAACATATTTAATTAATTAATTCTCCCTTTGAACTCATCATGATGGTGTTTGTGCTGCGCTATACTTCAGATGGCATGATCAATCATGTCTTGTAAGTGCCGGCATAGTTGGACGAATGAATTCATCAATGTCCCACTACTCATCGAAAGTAAAACAACTTTGCTATTCGTAAGAATTGGATTTTCCATGATACACTGTATCCCGGGCCGCAAGGTCATGTCTGGTGCCTGGCCAGGTTCGTGCTCGACTAGGTTGTTGGTTCATGTAAAGAATACATATCAGCAAAGACGATCGATTCTAGCGTCTCCCAAGTATGTCAGGCATCGGTATCGGCGGTGTGGAGAGTCAATAAGTCTCCATGTTGAAGCTATATTGAACTCACATTTAATTCACTTCCAGGAAATGACAAAATCCAAAGCCCATAGAGAAGTAGAGGTAGATAAACAGATGATACAGCCACTTGTTGACTTTGCCCATGCATCTGATGCGAAAGCTCAAGTGGGTCTTTTTATCAGCCACTCAACGCGTCTACAACAACCAAGACGCGTTTTCTCAACGTCACCACCTCTAATTTCAATGGCCCGAAATTAAGGAATATCAGGAGTGACCATCGTTTACCATAGAAATCGCCATCGAAACTCACCAAATCCGTCTCTCACTATGGCTCCTACTCCTAAACCGGGTGCGAAAAAACAACAGACCCTCACATCCTTTTTTACACCAAAGACAGTAAATGGGCTAGCCGCAATCTTCGAAAAGCAGAGTCGAGCACAAGCAGCCAAATCGCAATCACCCAGCAAAGATACAACCGGATCACCGTCCAGGAAACGAACAATAGAGGATGCAGAAAAGGAGAACGAAGAACCAAAACATACTTCCAAGAGAGCTCGAGCCGATGATACTGCCAAAGACCCAGAGACAAGCACTTTCTTCTCTGAATCAAAAACCGGGAAGCAAGAAACCGTAGGAGCACGCACAGAACGATATCGATATGACGGCTCGAGTGCGCGGAATACTCAGGATGGCGACACCAACGCAGGATCCAACCAAAATGAAGACCAAGACGCAGAAGAGAGACGACAGCACCAAGAACTGCACAGAAAGTTTGTCAAGAAACTTGGTCACCCAGACGCACTAGTTTCGCGCCGTAATATCCAAGACACGGCGCCAGTGGGTGAAGATGAAGATGCCGATGCCGATGGAGCTGAAGAGGAGGCTCCAGCACCAGCAAAGACAAAGAAGAAGGGATCCAAAACAGGCAAACTGACGCCTATGGAAATTCAATTTCTGGAGATCAAAAGAAAGCACATGGATACTGTTCTCATTGTCGAAGTGGGCTACAAGTTCAGGTTCTTTGGCGAAGATGCGCGCATTGCAGCCAAGGAATTGAGCATCGTTTGTATTCCCGGGAAAATGCGTTATGATGAGCGTAAGTTTTCTTGCTACAGACTAAAGAATAAATCTCTAACCTTTTACAGACCCTTCGGAAGCGCACATAGATCGCTTCGCTTCGGCGAGTATTCCAGTCCATCGCCTTCCTGTACATGCGAAGCGCTTGGTAGCTGCCGGACACAAGGTTGGTGTTGTTCGTCAGATTGAGACCGCTGCATTGAAGAAGGCTGGTGATAACCGCAACACGCCATTTGTCCGCAAGCTCACCAATCTCTACACAAAAGGCACATATATTGATGAGAATGGTGAGCTTGACCAGAGCGGTGGCTCTGGGGCGCCCTCTGGCGGCTACTTGTTATGCATCACCGAGTCCAAGGCCAAGGGGTCGGGCACCGACGAGAAAGTCAACGTTGGTATAATCGCTGTCCAGCCTGCGACTGGAGACATCATATACGATCATTTTGAAGATGGATTCATGCGGAGTGAAATCGAGACCCGACTATTACACATTTCCCCTTGCGAGTTCTTGATTGTGGGAGATCTGACCAAAGGCACCGACAAGCTCGTGCAGCATCTATCGGGCAGCAGTACCAATGTCTTTGGCGACCGCAGTCGCGTCGAACGCGTGCCCAAGGAGAAAGCCATGGCGGCTGAAGCTTACTCTCATGTCACCCAATTTTACGCCAACAAACTTAAAGACAATACTCAGGACGAAAATGCTGCCGCCCTTCTCGACAAGGTCTTAAAACTGCCCGAGCCTGTTACTATCTGTCTCTCAGCTATGATCAACCATCTCCAAGAATACGGCCTTGAGCACATTTTCGACTTGACCAAATACTTCCAAAGCTTTAGTACCCGGTCACATATGCTCATCAATGGCACTACGCTTGAAAGTCTCGAAGTATACCGTAACTGTACAGACCATTCTGAGAAAGGCAGTTTGTTCTGGGCTCTCGACAAGACTCTCACTCGTCCAGGTCAGCGTCTACTCCGGAAATGGGTAGGGCGCCCCTTGCTTGACCAGGAACTTCTTGAGGCTCGTCTAAACGCTGTTGAGGAGCTTCTCAACAAGCAATCAACTGCTCCCGTGTCCCAACTGGAATCGCTTTTGGCAAACACCAAGACTGATCTTGAACGCAGTCTCATTCGCATATATTATGGCAAATGCACTCGTCCCGAACTCCTCTCCGTCTTACAAGCTTTACAGAGAGTAGCGAGCTACTACTCGACAGTCAAAGGCCCTTCCGATGTCCACTTCAGTTCCCCCCTTCTCAGCGACGCTATCTGTGCTCTGCCGCAGATCCTCGACACGGTCGTTTCCTACCTAGAGCGCATCAACCTTGTGGCTGCACGCAAAGACGACAAGTACGAGTTCTTTCGTGATGAGTTCCAAACGGAGGATATGCAAGATCACCAGCTTGGCATCGCTCATGTCGAGCACGAACTAGACGGCCATCGTTCTGTCGCCGCCGAAAAGATTAAGAAGAAAATGGTTGAATATGTCACAGTTGCCGGCATCGAATTTCTGATCGAGGTTCCCAATGCCGACATTAAACATGTTCCAGCTTCATGGGCCAAGATCTCCGGTACAAAGAAGCTATCGCGGTTCCATACCCCTGAGGTCCTTCGCTTCATTACTGAACGCGATCAGCATCGTGAGGCCCTGGCCGCCGCATGTGATAAAGCTTTTAAGGATCTACTCGCTTCTATTGCGTCTGAGTATCAACCCCTCCGTGACGCCGTATCCGCTCTCGCAACACTCGACTGTATCCTCTCTCTGTCAAAAGTCGCCGCACAGCCAGGCTATTCTCGTCCATCTTTTCTCCCTTCCTCGACCGACCCTACCATTTCCATTACCAACGGCCGCCACGCCATCGCGGAGCATACTCTTGAGGGCGGCTACATTCCTTTCTCCACTACCCTCGCTCACCCTTCACCTCTTGCCCACCTCATCACCGGCCCCAATATGGGTGGTAAATCCTCTTTCGTTCGCGCTCTAGCCCTCATTGTTCTTCTTTCACAGGTCGGCTCGTATGTTCCAGCAGACTCATTGTCTCTCACTCTCTGTGATGCCATCCATACCCGAACAGGTGCCCGCGATAACCTGTTTGCTGGCGAATCTACCTTTATGGTCGAGGTCTCCGAAACAGCGCGCATTTTACGCTCTGCTGGTCCCCGAAGCCTTGTCATTCTCGATGAGTTGGGCCGAGGTACCAGCACTCATGACGGCGCCGCCATTGCCCAAGCCGTGCTGGAGCATGTCGTTACCGAGACACAGTGCCTAACGCTCTTCATTACACATTATCAAAACCTGGCGCGGGTCGCCGAAGGTCTTGACGGCGTCAAGAATGTTCACATGAAATTCAAGGCAGAGAAAGGGGAGGATGGGGAGGAAGAGGTCACGTTCTTGTACGAAGTCGGCGAGGGCGTTGCCCATCGCTCGTACGGCTTGAACGTCGCAAGACTCGCGCGTATTCCTAAGAAAGTGATTGATGTTGCTGCTCTGAAGTCGAGTCAAATTGAGCAAGAAATGAAGATGCGGCGCCTGAGGGGTGTTTGCCGTGCCCTGTCTGAGGTGATGGATGACAGAACCGATCATCTCGATCAGCTTGTATCGAGTATCGAACAACTATGATGTATACTACAATTGTAATATTCACTATTTTCGCGGTCCAATGGTTAAGCTGGACTTCATAATCTTAAAACGCGTTATTCTCATAAAATGCTAAAAATGTCCTTGTTTTCACTTCCCATGACACCAATATCGAATGCTACACCCATCGCTCCAGACGCCAAAGTATCCCTATTTATTCTTCATTCATAACACCTTATATCCCGATACGTCTCAAAATTCCCATATTCATAGAGCACCGTTGTACTTTGTCCCGGGTTCAACGAAGCTCCTAATTGTTTCTCTGCCCATTTGCTGTTTTCTTATAATCGGTCAAAAGGAAGGATATGATACCAAAACTTTTAATTGTCGGATTCCGGGATTAAGCGCCGTATATGATGTGCGTGCGATCTAAGTGTTCTGGGAATGGTCAACCAGCTAGTTCTAGGGATTGAAGGCTGTGGTCAGAAGCTTCTTACACTGAATAAGTCGCCAACTGTTTTTGAGACCAGGAACCAGTGCATAATTGTGTTCTGATATGATGGTTCGTTTAGATTCATGATCCGATTAGCAAGTCGGCTCCGTCATTCCTTTGCTATCGGAGTATAGAATGGGTTGTCGGTTGTCTTCGAGGCGATTTCCAAAGTCTTTTGTTCAGATCTGCTGATCATCCATCGCTGATCCGTGGGCAAAACCCATGTCGCTGTCGGCATCGTGCAGGCTCCATGAACCGTTGAAATTCAATTCCTGCTCTTCATCAAGGCCACTCGCTTCCATGGTCTCACACATATGCGTTTGTTGCTTCGTATCTCGCCCAGTGTGTGAATGGTCTGGCTGTTGGTTGACAGGGGGGAATGACAGAGGGGAGAATACTGCGTTCGGAGCTCTTTGGTTGTACGAATTCAGAAATGGCCGGTCATTCGAGAAAAGAGGATTAGTTCCAGTTATGCCAATATACGGGCTGTTCGTTCCCTGTGTTGGGTCTCCAAAATGTGATCCCGGGTATTCCTCCAGTTTCAACTGGAAACCGTAGTTTGCTGCCGTGCGCAAATGGTCTGAGCCTGACTCTCGGAATTGACTATAGTCTGTAGGAACAAACGGAAGTCGTGATGAAGCGTTGTAGATTGTAGCATCTTTCATCGCATAAGAGGCTTCAGCATGGCTGAAAGAACCTAAGTTTGTGTGAGCATATCTAGTGTCAACTGTAGGCTCCCTACACCGACTCAACATACCTGGAGGGAAAGAGTCGGGTTGAAGCGAACTTAGTATTTCCCTGGCTTGTAGGTGACGAGATGCCAGACCTCTCGCTTGCGGCGTTGGGGAGACGATATTCGAGTGAAAGAAGCCATTCAAGCTCCGAGTCCCGTGTTTGTTACGATGCTCTAATCTAATTCTCAGGTCAACAACATGATACTCAGAGGATCTGTGTGGTATTACCCGTGGTTACCGTGATTCAGAGGAAGCGGAGGCTCACTGATAGAAGCTGAATTGCGCATTAATAGGAGTCGTTTCTTCCTAATGAGACACTTACCTGTTCGTATAACGTCGTCGCGGAATACATCCTGGACCTCCCTGCTTCGTTTTGGCGATGGCAATACTTCAGGCTCATGCTGAAGCTCCTGTTCCTTCTTGGAGCGCGTTGACTTCCCAGCGTTAGACCTCTGACCACGGGCAGTCCTTCGTCGCTGCTTCGGAATATTTCCAGATATTTCGGCAAGAGGTGTTGCCTTCTTTCGCTTGGGTTTTGGGGCCCTTTTGGGTGGTGTCTGGTGAAATTAGTAATTGAAAGTCCTGAGTTTGGTTGCACATACTGATTCCTCCTGGCCAGGAATAGGAGATGAAGTATCGTCGTAAACGTCCCTTGTCCTTTCTACCTCAAGCTTCGAGCTCATTACAAATTGGGTAGGCTCGATGCACTCAGATGCCTTCTTCATTTTATCAATGACAGACTTGGGCTTCTTTTGGTTTCGGGCTTTTCTCGTCTGGTCGTCGGCAAGATCCATCTTTCCCATTCCTGGCCATACTTGGCCCTTCAATAACATCGAGTCATTTCCCAAAACAAATTCGTCTTGAATGTTGTTATCCGGTTCGATATCTAGAAGTCCTGGGAAGATTGGGAAATCTCTCATGAGTTCGTCCCCTTCAAGCTTTATTGCCGGGCTCATCGACATCTCCTGCTTCATCTTCCGCTTGTTCAGCTAGTGGTTGTCAGCACCATGTCCCTTTCTAACGTGTACGAGGCAGTACAACCTTTTCTGGGGGCAAAAATTGGTATTCTTGATTGCGTCTGACGCGAGCCTCCTCCTTCAACTGCTTTGCCCTCATTCGCTCAATTAGAAGCCCTTCGATGCCGTTCTGGGAGTACTAATCCTCGTAACGTTGAAGCTTTACCGCAGCGGCGATGTCTTGATGGGCCTTAAGCTTTGTTTGGGTCTCATGATGCAGGTGTCCTTTGGATGCAATATGTGTGAGAAGGTGTGATACGTCTGAAAACCGTGGGGTTTCGGGGCAAACGAAACAAGAGAGTGGAATTTGTCGGTTTGTAGAGCTAGCCAGGTTGTCTCCTGACAGCGTTGGGGGAGCCATGACCTGAATTTCAAATGCACTGATTAGCAACTTCTCATTCATTCATGACTAGATGAATAACTTCTTTGATCAGACAGGTATATACTGTGATTGTAACAGATTCTTAACCGCGGAATCAATGGCCAAGTGTCGCTCTTCTCTTCGGGTATGGACGAACGGGAAAGGGGTGCTCGCCAGGTCAAGATGAGGGCAGTAGATAGGTAGTAAGGGCAAAGGGTCAAGTCCGAGGTCGATACGAACTGACAATCAAAAATAGCAGGTCATGTACAAGTCAAGATGGGTGCTCGGAGTACAACAAGAGAAAGTAGGGGAGCAAAAGACGCGGAATGGTTTATATGGGAAGGTACTTACCGGAGTCGATTTGGTTTGCTTCCTGCCTCGAGCCATACTTGTCCCCTCTCAAGGCAATTGCTTACGGTCGTTTCCTTCTCTTTATTTTGAACCGTTCACAACTGTTCGAATGTGTATCATAGGAGGTAGGTAATAAACAATCGAGCACAGAAGGTGTGGCGGTTGGAGAGTAGAACAGAAGTTTGAAGGGCTTGATTCGGAGTTCGACTAAAGGGTCAAGGCTCAGCTATCCCTGCTTGGTGTACCGATGATTGAAATTGCACAACGACTCCAGCTTTCTTCGCATACCTCGGTGTCACGAACTGCTGTCTTGGGAGGGGTTCAACAAAGGTAATTGGCTTCGTTCGTTTCGAAGGTCATCTCTCGGAGCAGGCAGACTGCGTCCAAGTCACAATTTCAGGTACAACAGATAGCCTTGTCCGTTTGATGAGATACGGCCTTGAAACCAACTTATAGACAGATCATATCTCCTGGTGTGGGATGTAGGAGCCGGTATGACACTTGAAGCTGGGATGGAAGTCCTCAGTAGGCCATGCGAAATTCGTTGGAGGTTTCGAATGCAATCTCCAATTCTATCCGACCTCAATCTTGAAGTTTCCTGTCTTTTTGAGTAACCTTCGACGAATGGTTACTGTAGATGGCACCTAATAGTAGATATCTACTCGTCAGCCAGAAATGCGGATGGCTTCAGGGGAAATGTTCAACATTGCAGTGCAATTGAGTTAATCCAGGCACAGGTATTTTTCCTCCTATTCCAAACCCAGCGGTAATGCCAGCGCTTAGTGAGATCAGAGACGAGCATGGATGGTGCTTGCCTAGAGTAATAAGAGAGTGCTTATTGACTTACCACAGAAGGAGGAGTGCCTGAAGCAACTGAATGTCTACCAATCCCTCCGATATGCTTCGTCAACGGAAGGCACCAGGTTTGACGATGCAGGTCAGTTTGACCTTGCGAAGGGTTGCAAGAGTTGTCGTGGAGAAACTAAAGGGATGCTCGCAGAAAGAACAGTCGCTTGATGCGCATGGGATGATATCCTTAAGAACAATTTCTTCAGAGGTGGAGGGAATTCAAGATGGATGGGAAGACCCAAAGTCTGGGGTAAATCAGAAAAATGAGGGAAGAAAGAGGGGGTGCGCACCAGACCTGACGTCCAGGAGGAAGGAATCAGCAGAATCAGGCAGGCGCCACCGACAACCTCAGGGGCCTCAGGACAGCATACTTGGGCAGGCAGGTACGTTTCTTTAATACCAGTTCTGGTGATTGAAATAACGAAATAATGATAAAACTTGTCGTAGAAAGCATAGGAGGTAGTTATTATCTTAGTGCAAGCTTGTATTAAAAAATAGGTGCCTACTTTAAAGGAGGTGTGCGTTGTGCTGCGACAAGGTGCTGATTGTACAAGAGAATGACAAACGATATTTATCTTCCTACCAGTCGCAGTTGTCTTTTTTTGTTAAAATCAGGGAGTCAACTAAATATGTACCTGGGTTTGGCCTTCTGTGTGAAGGTGCGCGTTTGTGGCTACGGAAAGGGGGCGGCGTTTGAACCTCTTGAGAGAACAATAATGGACGAACGAATTGATTTGAACATCAAATGAATTAACAGCAAAACGTGTAGTATGCTGGTCAAAATGGTATTTATGGAGCATAATGAAAAACTATCTATGTAACAGTCCAGTATTGATTCCCGTCGCCCTAATACACCTATTGGCGAGCATCATGCGTATCTTAGATATCAATGTCTGAAGGACTTCACGGGACTAACACCACGGGGTAACAAGCGATGTCCCTGAAAAAACCAACAGTTTCCTCTTCCCTCAACCATATACACATGCTATCACTGAACAATGTCGTAAGCATGTGCTAAGAATGGCCAGAGGGTGGTGGCTAACACCATTGCCAAAAGCGATGAATAAGGTGCCACATGTAGAATTGTAGCAATCAACCGATAAGTCTCTTTGTTATGGTCTTTGGCATGCAGTACACTGGATCGACTGCCTCGAGATCCGGATAGCCCAAAAGGCTCAAGCCGCACAGACCGAACTGGGTATGCCAAACATCGACCATGTTACCAGGCCGATCGGAAATACCACCCATCTGAGTGTCTTGACATTTCAGAATAAAGGCGATCAATGCATCGCGATCGATCCAGTGGGTGCGCTCAATTATGGCAAGGCTACTCAACACCCACCAACTGTAGCAAACGTCCTCGTCTTTTTCAGGTCGACCGTTAAGGCCGCCGCAAGGGACTTGTCTCTCACTCAGCCATCGGCCGAGTTTCTCCTTGTCCACAAGATCCAGACGCCCGACAATTGCAAGCGCTGCGACACAGGTGAAGATCTGGCCTGAATGCGACTCCGCACCGGGACCGGTTCCATAACCGCCGTCAAAGTTGGCACAGGCGGTGATGTGAGAGACGGCTTTATCAACGTCTACCAGAGGCATGAGGTCGAGCAGTGAAAGGGCATTAAAAGCACCGTACAGGAAGCGAGTGTCCTCTTCGCCCCATTCATCTCCAGCAAACGTGCCGGTTTCTTGGTTTTGCAGCCCTGCTATGACTATATGTAGTCAGTTGGTGCATCGAAAGCACTATGGGCCCTTCAAAGACACCTACACTTGCCGACCTGTTCCTTGCCTTTGCCTCTGATTTCCAGCTGGTCGAAAGCATCCGTCATAGCGAGCATCTGCACAGCACTTACTGTGGAAAGCATGTGGGCGTCGTGACCTGGCGCTGCACCAAATCCGCCGTTTTCATGCTGACAGGAGAGAATAAAATCGATGACATCCTGTCGTGGGAGGGCATCCGGCCGACGAAGCAGATAGAGAGCATTTAATCCCCAATACAGGCCGTTGAGTCGCAAATGCTCGGTAAGCCAGTAATCGAGCTCATCTTTCCTTGTATCCAAGCTTTGGACGTACTTCACATGAGCGTCGACAACGAGCTCCGGCGCTTTGTAGTCTGTTCCGGCTTGGGCCATGGTGTTAAAAGATGAAGTGAAATTGATGAAAAGAGTTGGGGTTGACATAGAGATTTTTTGGCAAGCGGGTCTTTACGTAAGCGTCGTCTGTTGCCTGGCCAAACCAACGATCACCTACCTACCCTTGAGCGCCCAACACATACACAGTTTAATAATAACGAGTGATGCGATGCTTTGTCTGTAGAATGTAGGTTTACGTTAGATTCTGGGAATGAGAACATGTATACAAATGGGTACAACAGATGTATTGGAGCTTTTATTTTTCTTTCACAGTTCAGAATTGTTAATGTGAGGAGGAGCTTCACCAGCCAAGATGATGATACACAATTTTGATATACAGGTAGGTAGGTAGTTTTAGAATATAGTGTAAACACCGTTGCATGATTTTTAATCACGGCAAACTGTGAGTTCCGATTGTAGTGACTCAGGGATCGTGGAAATTTCGAGTGAGTACACGTTGATACCCAGAGTTTTGACTTGAGGTGGAACACTCCACACAAGTAACCCAGATATCCCTTCGTCAATATCACCTGCACGTTGAGAACCAAACAAGGGAGAGAAGCAACAGGTCGACACAACAGGAAATATGCAACAGGAATCTTTTATCACCAATGATGGCTGCAAGATTGCTTTCAAGACGTCTGTACCACTGATGGGGGCGGCGCCTAAGAAATGTGTATTGCTCATGCACGGCTTCAGCGGTTCTAGCGACTACTTTGCCCGCAATTTCACGACTCTGAGTGAGAACCACTGGGTCATAGCACCTGATATGCGTGGCCATGGGGATTCTGACCGAACTCGAGGAGGATATCACGTTGCTCGATTGGCAGTTGATCTTGCTGGCCTCGTCGCACACATTCGCAAGTCAGCACCCAACGTCAGCCTCGTTCCTGTCGGATGTTCCATTGGTGCTGCAGTCCTCTGGACGTACGTTGAACTGTTCGGATGTAGCGATTTTGCCGGACTCGTTTTTGTTGATCAGGCACCCCTACAAGATCGGTCGGCGTTTGATGAGTGGGATCAAACCAAGGCACATACTGGATGCTACGACGAAAAGACGATGCAATCGGCACAGTATAGTTGGATCCACGACTCCAAAGCGGCGCATTTGGATCTGACATTAGGATGTTTGGGTTATCGACACGCCCCTAGAGAAGAAGACATGGTCTCAGCAGAGCAACAGGCGAAGGACGAAACGTTTTTCACGGAGATCAGTGCTCGTTGCGATCAAAGCTGGTTGGCACGACTGCTGGCAGATCATACTCGCTACGATCACCGCGAAGCCATCGAAACAATCACAGTTCCCACCTTGGTTATGGCTGGCAGACGATCAAGCTGTTTTCCACTCGAGGGGATGCTCGAGACTGTTAAGCGGGTGGAAACATCGAAACCGGGCCTTGCAAGGTCATCAGTATTTGAGTCTGGGCATTGGCTATTTTATGAAGAGCCGGAAAAGTTCAACAAGGAAATCGTTGAGTTTGTGAACTCGTGTTCGACACTGGAATAGGAGCCAGTGGTAGTCGATCCCGCAATTTGTTCAAGAGAGATATATATACATATGGCATACATATCCCATGTGCACTTTTCGAGATGATGAATTACTATGTTATTCTACAGCATGACAGATTAACAATTTAATTTCCTACCGAAGCAAACTCCGTGACTGAACAAGAGCTTAGTAAGACGATTCTGGAAGCCATCTGTATCGTTTGCTCGGATAAGGCTGAAGTAGTAAAGGATGATATCATTGACAACACATGAGACGAAGATTGATCCATTGCACTACGTTTCATCTCAACACGTAAGTCCCCTATGCTCCTGAGTGGCAGGGAGATCCTTACAAGGGTTGAATGCTTGTCAGGTCTTGGCTACGTGATCACTTATTCGGAAGCACCCGGCCGATGGCTGGCGCTCTGGATATCAAACTTTTCATGGAACAGTCGAATGATGCATAGATGAGGACGCGTAATATATAGTGTTCTGACCGAGGTTGATTTCATTACAAGGCCTCGTATTCTGAGCATCTTGATTATACCTGCTGAGGCCTCACCAGGCTCATCTCGTAAGAGAAAGCCGCTACTAGCCATCATGGTATTAATCGAAATTTGACTTTAAGCAGACAGTAAAGCTTATACTTACATGGTATGGCCCCTCGACAGGGGCAATCTAAACGCCACTCATGCCAGTCATTTAGGCATCGGATTTGAGCTCCAAAAGAGCGACATATTGGGTTAGGGTTATGATGGTGCGATACTTGTTCACTTGGATATCATACTTCGCCTTATTAGTTACGGAGTAAACAGGGTCGTATAACCGACATATAATTTTATTCTTTCGTTCGAGACTCAACCATCTGGTATCGAGTAGATTAAAGATGCATGGGTTCTCTCTACCTAGTTTCATATCGAGGTTCCTTACTATTTCTTGGCTTTCAGGTACACGAATCCTATAGCTACTCAGCCACTACAAGACCTGGCCTTTTTCATGGGATGAAAATGGAGAAATGAATCAAAGCTTACAAGGCACGTTGATGAAGCACAGTACTGTAGACTAACCCCTAGGTTGACGCCCAATCTGCCAATTTGCTGCAGCGGGGTAGGATGGCCTCAACGTTCCGTATTGTTTACAGGGTAATAGTACATACCAAGGAAGATGACGTCCGCATCCACAGTTTATCTAGCCTGCAAATCGGGTTGTGGTTGGGTTGCCAGGACGGACTCATCGCAGTACTATTACGGTAGACTGGAATCAAGTGCCATCGAATCGGGTTTCTTTTTCCTCGATAGCCAGTTTTGTCACTTACTTTTTCGTGTGTGGTAGCTGGTTTCAGCCTCGTACGCCGACATGATACTTACATATTTACGGGCTGTATGTATGTAAGTAAGCCCACGTACGTAACCCGAGACGCGCAACGCCCGATTCAAATAGGATCCAATGGCTTTGGTTGGACTGCCCAGTCTATGGAGTTGACCAGTAGTGGAAAGTCACTCATGCTACTAACATTAGCGCCCATCCATAAACAACTACGTACATCCGTAGGTCCACCAACTACCTAGGTAGTTAAGGCGTCGTGCCTGTGCCTGTGCCTGGATCAGAATCTGCCCGAACATCCATCATCGGGTACAGATAGGCAGTTTTGGACACTATTGAATGCTACCACTGCCGAATTCCCCTCACAACTGAACCCCTAGTCGAGGAACGCCAAGACTTTGTCTTTGTTCGTCCCTTGTTCCTGGTCTTTCGTGCAACGTTCCACATCCTGTCCCTTGCTTTTTTAGGATATTTCCAAGCCCTGAGAGATCATTAGCTGCGCACTCGAGAATATTAGCATACTGACCTGCCTTGTTAGTGGACAGGTAGCTCTACTCTGACACTTGACAACACTGTACATAGGTAGTTTAGACCTGTGAATAGAGGCGCCCCGCCCGCCGCATGTGTGGCATCAACAGAAAGCGGTCAGCAGCACAAACTGCTATCCAGTCAATTGGGAACAACTTTCGGGGCCACCGACTGTTGTGTAGCCAGCTCTGATTTGCTCTGGGCCTTTGGGGCTTGGTTTCGGATATTTTGGCACATATCACCGGCATTAGCATTGGCCTGGGTATCAGAAAAGTTGGCTGTTGGAAGGATAAGAGACGAAATTACTAAGTTAGCTTCCAACTATTACGACTAAACTATTGGGCTGTTTATTTTTGCACCTCAAGCTTAGAAACCATCTTTTCTGTTGCCCACTAGATTGGCCCTACAATCGGGCATTGATTGATTCCATGACAGTAGTGTTGGTATTATGGACTACCTACCTAATATGATCATACGGATCATAACTGGAGCTTCGAGCCAGGTCAACACTGCACCGCACCGCACTGCACAGCACCACACCGCACCATGATGTACAGCGCAGAGCACAGCGGGGATAGGTAGGTAGTAGGCAAGGCGGCCACGAGACTTTTCCTTTATCAGGTATTTTCGAAGACGGCATGTTGAACTGAGCTTCATTCTTCTTCCACACTATACATTCTTGCTTTCTTCTATATCCGTCAACTGGACCTAGTTTCTCTACCTTAATAAGTTACCCCATGCTTTGAGTGTCGGGTACCCCTGACATTGGTACCTCAACGCTCCGCTACCTGTAATATACAGCACCTCCAGTCCATACCAACCATACCAGCACCGGTACAGTGCCAACCAACGCCAATACTGCGAACGGAACGTCAACGCGCCCACCTCTTTCTCTACTGCTCCAGCGGGCCTCCGATTATCAAATTTCCCGACTCCATTCCTTGCTACACTGTTAAACTGTCTGTTTGTGACTTCTTTTGTTCCTTCTTCCAAGCCTGCTCTTTCAGGCTGGATTTACCGTCACCTCTGACCCTGCGACCCGCAACAAGATCGGCTCAGAGCAAAACAGAACGGCCATCCGTCTATCCATCCATCCACAGCAGACCACTCCCTCCCTCCCCCTGGCCCGCAGTTTGGGACCCCTTCCCGTTTCGCCCACCGTGGCAGTGGGAGCTTGCGAAGCAGGGCCCGCGTCTACAGTGCCTTTGCCTCCGCGATTGTGATTGCGACCGAGACCGAGACTGAGACTGAGACTGCGCCGTGAATAGGCAGAATTCGAAATGGGTCGCAAGGCGGCACCACAGCCGCTGGCACTTTCGTCTCAGTCTTCACCCCAAACTCAAGCCCAAGCCCAATCCGATTCCGACGCTGCTTTACGCAACAAAGACAGCCCACTAACTGCTGAAACCGTTTCCCCGGGTGCATCGCCAGTCGAGTCCAAATCGCCCCGTTCTCCCCGCTCCTCTCCTTTCCACAGTCGATTCTCACCCTTGAGAAATCAGGCTGGAAAGCAAAAGAACAAGAACTTATCACACACGACTGCAGCATTGGCAGCTGTAACCATAGAAGGAGAATCGTCACCCTCATCGTCCACGCCAGCGTCAGCATCAGCATCAGCATCAGCGCCTGCGACTGCACAACGACCATCGACTTCCGCAGCGTCGACCGAACGGAGCAGCAGAGAAGAGTCCACTCCACGACCACCCTTGCGACATACGCGCGAGGACCCCTCGACTTATCCTTCCATCTCATCTACGTTAGAAGAGCGACTACCTGACCCACCCGCGACAACTGCAACTTCTTCGCAGCCCCAAGTACGACCACCTACCTCGGGCGGACAGAAGAAGGGTTCCAAGAACGGCTTCTTCAACTTTAACAAACAATCCAAGGCTTCCAACCAATCTCAGCCCTATGTCCACCGTCGCAAGCAGACAGAGACAAGAGCCCAGGTAACGTCGAGGGGTAGTGACGGAACTAATCGACCAAGACAAGGAGGTACGTGAGCAAGGAGCCAAGCCTGGGGTTGGACGATCTATTATCCTTTGGCTACAGCACACATATTGAGGTCATGGCCAACTACTGACACCGTGTAGAGAAATCCGATTCTGCGTACCCCGATCACACTCTTCACAAACCTAATTCTGCCGATCCTTTACGAAGCGACTTATCTTTATCATCTGCTGGTGATTACGAGGCTGCTTCACCACACTCTTCAGTGAGGAAAGGCAGATCTAAACCTTTTGGCATTTTGAATCGCAGCCGGTCCAATCGCGACAAGGAGGACGGTAGCCCTGAGCCGAAACCCTTCAATTCCCCTCGCCAGGGCAACGAGCCTGAACTGCATCTTAATTCTGTACCATACAAAGCCGGAAACCAAGGCAGTGATCGGTCACTTCGAGACATGATGAATTCTGCAGTCCGCAATCGATCTGAGGACCGCGCGCCGCGAGACACATCTTCAACAAGAAGAGCACAACAAAACAAGGAACCAAAAACCCAGCCATCCTCCCTAAACGAGAACGGGGGCTCTTTCTTCAATGGCCTGAAGAGCTCGGGAACTCGCGCCGCTGGCATGCTAAGCGATCGCTTCTTCAAGAGTGGGCGAGGTGGTCGAGAAGATAAGGACGCTTTGGATGACGAGCACTATCAGCTCAAGGTCATCAACTTACCACTAGTTGAACAAACACGATTGACACGAATTTCGAAGCGCCTTGAGGACTCAAGGGATAAGACGGAATTCTGGATGCCCGCCTTTCCATGGAGAGCCATCGACTATCTGAACTATAAGGGATGTGAAGTTGAAGGTCTTTACCGTGTTCCAGGCAGCGGCCCCCAGATCAAGAAGTGGCAACGCAAATTTGATGAGCGTAAGTGTTTATTACATCGCTACTAACATTGGAGATTTTGCTAACCCAGAACAGAGTATGATGTGAATCTTTTCAATGAGCGTGACTTATACGATATTAACATCATTGGCTCGATGCTCAAGGCATGGTTGCGAGAGCTCCCCGATGAGCTGTTCCCAAAAGCGGCACAAGACCGAATTGCAAAGGAGTGCGCAGGTTCGGAAGAAGTCCCCGAGCTTCTCATTGAAGAGCTCTCAAACCTCTCCCCTTTCAATTATTATCTTCTTTTTGCCATCACATGCCACCTCAGTCTTCTCTTGGCTCATTCAGACAAAAACAAGATGGATTTTAGGAATCTTTGCATCTGCTTTCAGCCTTGTATGAAGATTGACGCATTTTGCTTCAAATTCTTGGTATGCGATTGGCGTGATTGCTGGAGAGGTTGCAAGAATGAGGCCAAATTCATCGAGGAGGAATACGTGATCTTTGATCAGCCTCCGCCACGAGGTCTAGCGGAACCGACAAAGCCAAGACCCCAAGAAGAGTCGGAGGATGATCGGCAGCATCTTTCCTCCTCAGGGAGCAGCAAACAGTCAGACCGCCATAGCCCAGGCAATCAGAGCTCAAAGCTGAAGAAAAAACAGCTCCAGATATCCCCCTCGAGTGGAAGCGTCACCTCGACCAACTCATCTGCCCCAGCCACCTTGAATGCCAACACCAACAACGATCACGAGGTAGAAAGTCGCTCGAGCGAAATTCGACCGTTATCGCCTATCATGCCTCTATCGCCCCTCGGCTTTTGAGGTTCAGAATTGCTAATTGCCCGCTGAGAGCTGCGGGCATACTTGCGTCATATCTGCTGTCGATGCGAAGCTGTCCAACGATTAATCGATATACGACAGACATTCTCACAATTTCGAGCATGTCCTGGCCTATGTTTTACTAAGGCCTGCCTGATCGGTTCGCAGCAATGCTGCTTAAAGCAGGCCGATGTCGATTGTTCATTGGGCTGTCCGCCATGATGGAGTACGTGGCTACACATACACAGCAAGAGCCAATTTACGACGTCATGCCCTTACGATTTTCGTCTTTCGTCTTTATTGCACGATCTGGTTGCTCCGAACGCTGGCGTTTCTCTAGAGTAACCTAGCAGTTTTCAGATGTGCAATCAAACCAAGCTTTCAGACGAGCATGTCCATCGATAACTCCCAAGCGAGTAAAATCTTTCAGCTTGCACTTCTTCTTTTTCTTTATTTGTTGCTTGGTATACCCCATTGCATTTTTGAGGAGAACATCGTCCAGGAGGGTTGTGCTGTACCCAATACCGGGGGACCTTGTTTGAAGTTTTAGCGTTTTTGTTTTGTTTCTGTTGATTTAGTTGATGAGACGCTTTTTGTCACTTTGTTCAGCTTGGTGGTACCTAAGCTGGCTGTTAATCGGCGTCGTGTTAAAAGGAGCTAGGAGAAAAGGTGGTTATGTAGCGAAGGCAGGGAGTCCCTCGGAGTCGAATATGGAAGATAACAGTTCCTACGAACATACCGCAGTTCTGGGCTCTGAAGCCGAAAGTAATCACAAGGAACTCTAAAGTAACATAAATGAACCTGGGCTTTGGCAGGTCTGTCCAAGTTTCGTGCAAGATATACTCAACCTCATTACATCGACTGTCTCGACCTAAGTATTGTGCCGTATATCTACGCCGTAAAAATAATTACAGCAAAACCTCGATAGTTAGATAGTTATTAAGCAAGTGGTATAGCATAACAAAGAATTGAACATGGAACTGAGCATACATTTTCTGGTATAGATGAAACATAGCAGAAGTCGAAGGGTGTAATAAAACGTTTCTTCACGTCTAAGCTGAACGTCTAAACCCTCCAAAATCCCTAGCTTTTTTAGATGCCGATTTGAAACGCCAAAGTCCTGAACGCCGCTACATGCTCGAAAGCAATAGTCCTGACCAGTGCCTGCACAATACCGAGGGCCCAATCCTTGCTCTTCCATAGCCGTTGATGCTTTATTTGGGAATACCCTTGTTCTTGCGCATCAAGCGTTCGTTGCGCTTGACTTTCTCCTTGCGCTCCCTTCGGCCATCGCCACGGATGGTGGTACCTTCCTTTCTCTTCTTCTCGGCCTCCATGTCGACCTCTACAATGGGCCAATCCTCGCCCTTCTTGTTCAGGGCCTTGTATCCCCACTTGCGCTGCCACTCACCAGTCTGCTCGTCGAAGGCAAGGTTGCGGCGCTGCTCGCGTGTCTTGGGCTTGATGCCCTTCTTGGCGGCGAATCGCTCCCACTTGGTAGGAGCCTTGACCTGGGGGACGGGCTTCTCACGGGGGAGGCGGGTGCTCGGCGCTGGGAGGGTGAGCAGGACGCCCTCGGAGGTAGAGCTGAGAGGGCATGTGGTAAGAAACTGGTTGATAAGAGACTGGGCGCCGTCACGGGCAAGTTCGGCGAGGGACTGCTCAAGGTTCTCGCGATCGAGGGCCACTGGGTTGGGGTCCTCTGCGAGGAGATGGCCAAGGTCGAAAGTGTATGGCGTGGGCTTTTCGACTGCGACGGGCAACTTTGGCCTGGAGCTTGGGAGCGACATTGTGGTATTTAATAAGGTGAGACCGGGATTAGGTAATTGGATGTTGATATCAACCGATTGCTATCGTCAGTCTGCAGGACGATTTTAAGGTTCGTTGTCGCAAACTGCCTATCGTGAGTGATGTTGCTGCTTGGGAACTTTTTTCCTAGCCGTCTGCTAGAGTATCTTTTTTCTTTAGCGATAAGATATGTCGGATCGATGGACAGTCGTTTTTCCGACCACTTACCCCACCAACCAATCAGATATAACCGTTGCTCTTCATCCTTGCACGTTTGGGGGCGTGTCGTTAATGCTCCGAGATTTTCGAGAGTGGCATATAACCTCAGCTCAAGACGGCCGCGAGACGAGCGTCCAAGAACCGGCTCAATTGGCGCCAATGCGACTATAGACGTCGTCCAATTTACCAATTTAAATAAAAGGTCCCTTGAATCCACATTTCTGGGATGCTTTTAAGGACGATGGCCTCCGCCAATACCCTCCGATGCCTTATGAGGCCAACCATTCCCCGGGCTCCTCGAATTCAACCCGTTTTACTCGCTCCCTTCTCGACTACAAGCTCGGTTCTAGCCGTATCAGCTCCCCCGCCGATTAAGAGCCGAAGAGATCTCCCCCAGAAGGTTAAGAAGTCGTATAAGAAGCGTGCCAATGTGACGCCTGTCCGAAAACCTCAGCCCGGCGAGCGCAAGGCCTTCCGAAAGCGCATTCAGCTCAGCAACAACAGTGCCCTGCCTGTTCAAGGCCTCGAAACTTTGAATGTTACCAACATGACCGAAGAATCTAGTGCTGGAAAGGTTTTTGCTTTGCCTGATCAGGTGGTGGATCATCTGCGTGCCCTCGAGGCTTTTAAGACGACACAGACTTGGAACTTGTTCCGCAAACCCCATGTTCTGCTGCGCAAGGAGACAGTCGAGCTGATGAAGAAGCTTGAACTATCGGCTAAGGAGAAAAAGGCTCTCAAGTGTGTGTTGACGGGAAGCAAGTTGTCCGGGAAAAGCATGACTATGCTCCAGGCTATGTCTTACGCTCTTCTTAACAACTGGGTGGTATTCCATATTCCCGAAGGTACAGATCCCTCCGCCATTTATTGAGAATGCAGTTCTAACCTAAAAACAGGCCAAGACTTGACCAACGGCAACACTGAATACTCTCCTATTCCTGATACTGAACCACCACAGTTCTCTCAGCCCATTTACTGCCTCAAGATGATCCAGAGCCTTTACAGGGCCAACCGTGTCGTTCTTGAGAAGCTCAACATTGAGCAGGACTGGTCTAAGTTTACCAACCTGAAGAAGGGTGCCACCCTGGCCGATCTGGCCCTCAGCGCAAAGGAAGCTGAATATGCCTGGCCAACTCTCCTGGCCCTCTGGACAGAACTCACCCTGCCTGGCCGACCCCCCGTGCTCTTTGCCCTCGACGGTCTTGCTCACATCAACAAGATCAGCGACTACCGAGACACTGCCTTCAAGCAGGTTCATGCTCATGAGCTGAAGCTGGTGCGTCTTTTCGTCGATGCTTTGTCCGGCAAGGCTTCTCTGCCCAACGGCGGTGCCGTCATCGCCGCCACCTCCGAGAACAACAGTCACCATCACCCTTCACAAGAGCTTGTTCTCTCTCAGCTTGAGGCTGGCCAAGCTGGCCGTGAGGTTCCCAAGCCTAATCCTTATGAGCGCAAGTATGACGAGCGTGTGTACGACGCCCTTAGGAACAGCTGGGTTCTTCGCCTTGAGGGCGTAAGCAAGGATGAGGCCCGCTCTTTGATGGAGTATTGGGGCGCGAGCGGACTCTTCCGCCATGTGCTGAACTCACGTACAGTCTCCGAGAAGTGGACAGTGGGAGGCCATGGTAATGTTGGTGAGATGGAGCGTGCGTCATTGATGCAAATGAGACTGTAAATCTATCCTATAAATGTACAATATCAGTGTCTGAGTAGAAACCTACAAAGCATATATATATATCAGTTCCCTCTGCGTGTTTGTCCTTAGGGTATCGGAAAATTGGCCGCTGGAAGCATAAGAGACGAAATTAGTAGGTCAGGCTATGCTACTTAGACTAGACTTCTTAGGCTATTTATTTTATACCCTAAGATTTAGGACGCCAGCTCATCCATATTGCACTTGGATTAAAGGTTTGTAGCTCGTAACTAATCTCATTGTCTAGTGCTACCAAAACGCCGAAACCACACATCATTTTAGGGGATACTTAAAAGCCCTCGTCGTTATCCTGATTCTCGCCAACGACCACGAATACCAGTCTAGCACCGTTGCCAGTAGTTTGCCAAACCTGTAAAAAAAAAAAAAAAAGCCGTCGTTAGCTAGATGTCATAATTGATCTGAGGTACACATTAGAAAACTTACATTTACTGAGGTATATTCATGAAGGGCATCATGCCACTGGTCAATGGTGAATCGGGCCAAGACCCGGTCCCTGACCTTACTCATGCTCAGCTCAATACCAAGGTCTTCATCATCATCCGTAGCGTCTTCAGGGCGGCATTGGCCAGTTTCAGCCAGATTCTTGACCAAGTTGTAGATCCTGTCTGTGGGTCTCAAGTTGCGACGTGCAGCATCGAGCTCGTTGTTGAGACTTTCTTTGCTAGCCTCGACCAGTCGAAGGGCCTCGTCAACATCATCTTGGACAACCTCGTTACTGAATCGTAGGCGTGCCAAGGCTTGAGCCAGACGGACAACACCCAGGAGGGTACGAGGTGTGGTATGAGTGAACTGCTTGCCCTTCTTCTCAGCACGCTGCTGCTGATCTCGCATGCGCACGTACGTCTTGATCATATACTCTGACACGTTCGCGGGAACTACAGGTCGATAGGTTCTGGCCTGAGCAATGTAGGACCGCACCTCGTGAGGACTGAAAACTACATTATCAGTGCCGATGTCGGGGTGTCGACTGTTCATGTGCACAAAAGTAACGTGCTTAGCAAGCTGCTCGTCTGTCTCGCGCGTAGGGGTATCAAGAAGCAAGAAAAGGATATCGAATCGAGACAAGAGTGCGGCAGGTAGGTTGATGTTCTCAACTGGAGAGATACGAGGGTTGTAACGTCCGTAGACAGGGTTAGCGGCAGCAAGAATGGAGGTACGGGCGTTCAGGGTGGTGGAAATGCCGGCCTTTGAGATGGAAATGGTTTGCTGTTCCATGACTTCGTGGATAGCGGTACGGTCAGTCTCGTCCATCTTGTCGAATTCATCGATACAGCAGATTCCG